TGTTTTATGCGTGAATATACTGTCTCCATTTAGTTCAACATCCTCCTGTAAATATCTATGCATTGTCTTAAGTAGAATATTATACAGTTCTTACGCTCGGAAACCGATAATTATTAATTTACGGGTAAAAACAAATATTAGTATTCGCTAATAAATAACAGAAGTCATATTAGGACGTGACCTATATGAATAATTGAAGAATGTTATAGAGACTAAACAATTAAGAAACATTTCTCCCGTCATCTTCTAAGACAGGCGTATGAATTATAAATATTCAGATATCAAACGTTTAGCTAATGATTCATTCTTTTTCAATTTTATTCATTCTCACTCATTAATTTCTATTTTATTCATATTAGAATTAATTAACATAACTTGAGAAATATTGTCTTTGGCGATGATAAATTTTATACAGCAAGTTGTTTTGAATTTTAGTTTTTTTATTATACGTATATATGCAGATTAGTTCCCATGCTTACCGGATTTCCAGAATATTTAAAATTACAATCCCATTAATTGGTCAAACTAACAGCCATGTGCTATCGAATGTTTGACTAAGAGTACTTAATTACAAATTTATAAAAAAAAGTATTAAGAACAAAGTGAACGGGCATATTCAATTACACGCAAAACACCTCAAGAGCACACGTACAATGCAAAACGGCCGAATGTCACAGAACGTATAACAGTGCAACGACGTTACACAACATACATCTTGACATTCCTTTTTGTTCAAAGATTCTCAGTGGTCCGTGCGAATCGTTCCCACACGTCACAGCCCGATACTAGCCGAGATAGTGTGCCCGGTGAGGCACCTAAACTCTGCTTCACGATAGCGACCGACAACTGCATCCGACAGGACACTATGCGCGATTCGTGATTCATCTCCCGCCCTCACATCGGGGCTTTTAGGCTAGTTCACACGCGCGCTAATTTATAGCGTTCGGAGGCCCGGCTTCCGTTGTCCGGTCATTCGTTGCGGGCGCCAGACAAACCTCTACATCGATATTTCGTCCTCGCTTGTTCCTGCCGACGCTCCGTTACCCAATGGAGGATGTAAATTATATCGTATCGAGCGTAATTGAGGAGAGGACAAGTGACATTTGAATTACCGCCGCTATTTTTACGCCGCCACCTCCGTCCGACGTCCAATTTGATTAGATTAAATGTTCGTTCATATTCCGTTCTCATTAACTTTTAAGCGCCTTATCAACAATTAGACATTCGCGGCCCGTTTGAATAATAAAGTGTACGACTAGCACAAAGTGTATCGACTACGCCCCCTAGCTTATTATTTCAAACGAGGAACACGTGTAAGGCGAACAAGAATCAAAGCTGTATTTATTATCTCTTACGAAAAGCAATCAACGGGGGCGTGACCGTTAGTAATCAATTCCTAGCACCATCTTCCCGATACAGCTACTGAAGATCTCCATCGGTTACTTCCTCCACTGTAATGGCTTTGATTGAGATGCGGTTACCGACTAAAGAGATAATTAGATCGCTCGCCTTCATCGGCAGCTGTTAGCTTCCGCGCAGATATAAAGTTTTAACACCTCAAATGGAAAATTAGAACTTGACCTTCGATCGTCTTCGACGCTACTATTGAGCAACTAAATAGCCCCATAAAAGATTTATTACAAACATGAATGGCTAAACCGGTGGACGGTGTTCATAGTGAGGGCTAATAAATCAAATTCTAAACTCGTTGGTTCATTCATTCAACGCAATGGATCGGGGTCTTATTGAAAATAAGCATCATCAACGTAATGTGATTATCACACTTCTTGCGGCTGTTACTGCTCTATTATATTATAACAGCTCATGGATTATCCTGCAAGTGGTCATTGAATACAAATTGTTACGTCTTTAAAATAAAGTGTAGCATGGCTTTGTATTTGATTCGCTAAACTAATTTTGAAATACGCTGGTAACACGTAAACGGTTTTAGTGTTATTAGTCTGTGGGGAAGTCCTATAGTCTGCATTGGACTACAGGCTGAGTGGTAATAATGACGATGTTGATGGGTTTTTTGATCACTATTCATTGTAATAAATGTTTTACAGACAAATGTTGACCTATTAAATATGTTAATTAAAGCTGTTAATAATTCATTACTTTGATTAAGTTTTAATCTAAGGAACCTATCATATTTATCGTTGCTATTTAAGGTAAGTAAATAAAATAAATTTTACAGATTTTTCAAATATAACACATTACTTTCTTACAATAACTTCTTCAATGAATGATTCAAATAAAAAAACAATTTCTTCTAAAGAAGAGCGTTTACAACATTAATTGTATTAAGATCAGTAATAGGTTCAAATTCCGAATTGATCATTTGGAGAATATGCGGTATAAGTTCGTAAATTCAATTCCAGTGGTATATGTCCTCAAATTTTCTCGGACCAAGCAAAATCTTTAAGGCGTTAGATGTGTATATCTGTGAACTCCATTAGGATTTAAAGGTGCAATGATGGAATGGTCCGCACATGGCGTCGATGTTCGATTAATAGGTGGTTCGAACTCGACATCCATGCCTGCGCTCATCTCTAATAGAACGTGGAGGAACTTGCGTGGACGACCCTAAGATTTCAGACAGAACTCTATTTGTCTAAGCCAAAATAAAAATCGTCTGGTATAATAAAGTTAAACATTTTTCTTCCGTATACACATTAATTTATTACTCATTAGAAATTACCGAAATAAGATACACTATAATAGATCATATTTGAGAAATGAATATGTCCGCGCAACTACTGTGTTGTTCACTGACAATGTTGCGAATACAAATGCATTACATAACATTTATTACTCTGTTTTCATTGCCTTCATTAGCATTACGATGAGGAAAAATGTTAGGACAAACGTCGTAAAACAGTCCCCATCCGTTTAAATTATACTTTCCCATTCACTAGTCGTAATGAAAGTTACACTTTATATATCGATCTTAGATTATTTTACCAACTATTAAGTCTGCCGCTTGATCAATTTAAACGTAAAATTAAAAGTCAACTTATGGTTAAAGCATATTATACCATTGCGGAATATCTCGACGACGCCAACATGTGAAGTTATTACTGTTGATACTCACGTAGGCTAGAATAAGACTATTATACCTGTATGTTATATAAATTGCAAACTTTTGAAAAAGAGAAACTGTTGAATTTCTTGCCGGTCTCTTCTCAACAGAAACAGTTTTCCGAAGTGGTGGTACCTTACGAACCTATATATATAATTTTTGATGTAAAATTTGATGATTCATAAGAACGCGTCTATTTGAATAAATATATTTTTGATTTGATTTGATTTGAAACAGAACTTCCACTATCTTAATGAAAGCAAATTACACATTGTTAAATCTATGCGTTTTGCTAAGAATAATATACATAAAATGATTCGATAGCACTAAGAATTCACGATCTGAAAAGAGATCCCATGAAAAGTTCGTTCTTCTGCCAATCTCTCCCTCCAAACTCCTGTACACTCCTCTTCCTTCTTCAAAAAATCTTTTACAGTTACAGCTGTACGTTTGTGGAATTCTTTGCCACTTCACATTCGAAAAGCTAAGTCACTTCTTTATTTTAAAAACCTATTTAAAGCTCATTACTTGGAACTGTGAATTCATGCTTTCCTTTTTCCTTTCCTATTTTTCCCGAAATCTTTGACTATCTCATTGATGTATAAATGCCATCATCCGATGTTTATAAGTGATTCATGTACACCTCCCCCTGCTCTCTTCTTTATGTCTCATTAGCAAATATTCTTTTCGCAGTCGTTGTCTGGAAGAAATCGCTTTCTGAGCGATAAGACCGCCTATTGTACTTCCTTTTATATTCATTTGTAATGTGTTTTTATATATTTTTATTTTCGGTGTACAATAAAGTATAAATAAATAAATAAATAATTAAAAAAAATACAGCGCGCGCACCGGCCGCTTTGTGCGTACTTGCATGCATTCCTAATTTTTAACCGACCTAAAAAAAAGGAGGAGGTTCTAAACTGGACTGTTTTTTTTTTTTTAAATCGATCAGTTCCAATTCTTTAAGTACATATATTTTGTGTGGTGTCTCATCATCATCATTCCAGCCTGTCTGAGTCCACTGTTGAACATAGACCTCCCACACTGATAATCACAAAGCACGATCCTGAGCCACCTGCATCCATTGACTTCCTCCACACTTGCACAGGTCATCTCTCCACATAATGACGGGACGTCTTTTCTTTCCCATCGGTTGTCACTTCCTCGAGCTATATAGGTGGGCCACCCTTCTTTTCTAAGTTCTGAGCTAAGTTGTTTGTTCTACTGCGGATGTCTTCATTGCGAACTCTATATAGCGTCTACGGTTAATTAATTGACATTTAACCAAGGGGCGTTTTCGATTCATCTAACGCGTCCGATTGCGTAAGCTAAATTGCTTGTCATTAGCGAGGCTAAAATGTCACAGAACAATGCTAGCCCCTCAGGGGCTTGTCGCACGGCGGGCGAAGGCCGCACGTGATCACATTTCCTTCGATATTAAAGTTAAAACGGTCACGCAACAACAAATATAATGCACCGGCTTTAATGTCTCGGAATCATTAAAATGTATCGAGTATAGAGCGCAGCGCTAAAGCGTACTAACCGCAATACCCTTCGCCTATGAAATCGCTTCTGAGAATCGCACCGACTCGAATCAATCAGAAGTCACTTTTTTTAGTTGTTTTAGTCGTTATCGACATAATCGTTATTAAGAGTAACTCGCTTTGTTCTGCTTCCAATAGCTCAGAAGAAATCCAGCGTGTATTTTAAGAGTTCTCGCTTTGTTCTGCTTCCAATAGCTTAGAAGAAATCCAGCGTGTATTTTAAGAGTTCGGTGACTTTGCGATGGTCAAATTTTTACTAAACAATCTTTCAGCGAAATGTGCTCATTTCGTGACAACCTCTTAAAAACCACCGCTAATTGCCGGGAAACCATCGACCGTAGAGATGCGGTGGAGCGTCGACATTCCAACTGCTACGTCGAAACAATGCGGTCGAAACCGCGCTCAGCTTGGAAGCCGGCTCCTAAGAACAAGACACTGGCTGTTACAAAACGCTGAGAGTTCGCTTTAGATCGGCCAATCAGCGGAGGCAGCACGTGTCGACTGCGCGGGCGCGGGTCAGAGGTGAGACTCGCCTCAGCCCCGAGGCTAGACACGGGAGCGCGTGCGCATCTATTGTTAAAAACAAACTTGCGAAACCAACGCCTTTGGACGGACTTTTAACGGCTTCTTTCTTATGAACCACAGTACCGACCGCAGTTGGCCACAGCTAACAGTTTTCGGTTCTTTATATTGCACAAATTGATAGTACAATCATCGAGCTTTCGGCCTCGATTATAATTTTCAACGATAAGAACGCCGCGTATCAAAAAACGAACGAAACACATTATCTGATGACAATGATGAGCGGGAAAAGCTTGTCGATGAACCGTATAACCTAGCGATATGTTATGCCTAGGCTTGTCACCCGGGGGGCGCGTCCGCCAATAAATCGGCAAAGGCGCAAAGCCTAGCGTGAAAGATGAAGTGCCCGCTTAACATACAATAAGTCTGCACTCTGGCGCAATAAAGCTTAGGACTGTGTTTGAGTCAAACGTCAAGCGTATTACATCGCAGGAAAGTACTGACGCCAGTACTTAACACTGCAGGTTGTGTATTCATTTTTCATAGAGCACTACGCTGACGGTGCATGGCATTGATTTTAACTACATAAAAGAATAATAAAATACATTATCTTAGAAGCAAAGTAAGCGTTATCAGAAAATTAAAAATATACAATAGCACACAACGCATGTGTATCTCTACCATCAACCTGGCAGGCTAGATTTGCGTAGGCATTTTTGTAATTGTTATTGAAATTACATATATAGAACAAAAGTTATAATTGAATTATGAATTTAGATAATACTTTAATTATAAATATAGATATAACATAAAACTTAAAATGTATTTATTGTCAATACACGTACAGAACACCGGATGAGTAAGCTCAACGAGCCACGAGATTAGTCGCTAACGAGTATGGGTGTGTCTTCTGCACCAAATACACCCGCAATCATAATTGTGGGTGCAGTTAGATGCAATAATACTGAATTGGGCGGTGTGTACATCTAATAATATACTACGCTTCGTAAGCGTGTGCTTTTTTGCAATATATTCTTAAACTTTACTCGATGTTAGATTAAAATTTAAATGCTCTCATATTGTTACTTGAACACGGTTATTTTCTAACTTTGAACACAAAATGAAACTGGATTTGAAGATCTGTTTTCGATGTATACTCGTCGACTTTTTAAAAGTTCTTATACGAAAAAATGTTTATTACAAATGGCATTAAGGAAAAATTTGTATGTAATTAGGCCGTGATATCTTTGTGTGGACGTGGTGTTCTGACACTCGCTTTTAATTCAACATACTCGAGCAAGCTGAATTAAAATCCGGCAGCAATGAAATTGTTAATTACAATTTTAAGTGTTGTGTTGTGTACTAAAAACGTGATCAGCGGTGAAGAAAACTTCTAAAGAAAAAATGTACATCTTCGAACTAATAATTATAAAAGTATATTTCGAAATTATGTGAAGTCCGCGGTGGGTTGGTGTTATGGACTATACCCTTAAACCCTACAGAGAAAGCTTTTGCCCAGCAGTGGGACATATATAGTTTATTAGTTTAGTGTTTAATTATAATCTAAAGGAGACGCGTTACTTTTAAGATCCCTCGCATCTTTTATCCGTTACTAAAGGACACGTGTGCTTAATTATAATGACTTGTCTAACCCTACCTACTTAACTTATATTACCTCTTTAATATACATAATACAAGACCTCGAAATTGCTTACCTTGAGGACTAAAGTAACAATCAACACAAACGTCTCATCATACTATTGAATAAAAGTATTCTCGCACAGTATGCTTTAGATTTTTGTAAAGATAATCATGTGAAAAAATGCTGCATTGTTTTAATTATTATGCTAATCATCCAAATGATGTACTATACGAATATTTCTTCTTCTCATTTATAATAATTTAATGGGATACTTAGATAGATTTTTTAACTAACTTGAATATGGGATAATACGTAACTGTAACAAAAGAGGGGTAGTAATTACAGCCTTTCTTTAACCTTAAATATGAAGGCTGTATGCAGTAAAATTGTTATATGTTCACAATATCGGCATAAAAGCGTGCTCATAGCTAATTCTTGAATGTGCTTTGCATGCAATAACTTATGAGAACACGAGTAATTTATTGGGGGCAGCGTGTTTCTGCCATTCTTACGTCAATCACCAAGAACAGCTCTGTTAGCAAAAGCGCTATTGACACTAAATACTGTAGTCTGTTATTTCTAATAATTTATGGCCTCTTTGATCTGTGCGGTTTTGAATAATTTCGTTTACACCGAAAGTTTCTAAAATCACCGTCGAGTATAATACGATCAAAAAACAATCCAGCGAAGGTCGATTGATCGATCGAATTTTTGTTCTAGAAAATATAAAGCGGCATAACAATACATTAAGAATGAAATATGGGATTATACGCATAATTTGAATGCGTAGTAGCCAAAATAATATGCTTCAGCGATGGCATCCGATAGGTAAGTGGTTTTCGTAACGCCCTCGGAGCGCTTTCGATAGCATCGGAGGCTGCGCGTGCGCGAGGCAGCCGCTTGACTCTCGAGAGAACGGTTCTATTTTTTTTATACAAGCTTTACGAACAAACACTCCGAACGAAATATCTGGAAGATCGTTATCGGGATCGCCCGGCCTGAACATCTTCCATTATTACTAATTTCACTAACGACATAGATGGATAGCTCAAAGTGGTGGGTATAAATTGTCCTAATGGATCGACGTAATCGGCATCGATCATGCGCATCACAAGGACAACCATTAACCTCAATCCCAAAAGGACACTCGACCTTCGAGCGACATACATATGATAAAATCATTCATTACTTTCGTTTCGGTGCTCGTCTGAACACATCGATCGCGTCCTCGATTGTGTCAATTTTGACAAGTAACGCTTAAAAGGAGCGGGGCAGTTTCATTATGAGTTAAATCCCCGACGGTATTTCTCGTTCATTATCACGCACAATGCCCCGTAAGTATTTCAATTTGTTGGTGTCCAAATGACAAGTCTTAATTACGAATGAGATCAGCGGAAATGTTGCGGGCGATCGGAAAGCCACGAGAATATATGTCATCAATTTTAATTGGTACTGTGCGGAGTCAGATTCCTCGAGAGGTATCTTCTGATCAATTGAGTCGAAAGCAAGGCTATAGGGGGCGGTCAAGGGATACCCGCCTTCACCTCGGAGCCTTGGTGAGTCACAGAAATCGATCAAAGCCATTGTTAAAGTCGATATCATGGCGATGCTTGCAACATACTAATTATAACTTTGCAAATATAGTTACCCAACGGTCCTAGCGTGCGGGCTCGTAACGTCTATGTCAGGAGTGAGCCGTGTTGGCTTACGACGGACAACTGCTACCCGCTATTTGATCGTAACGTTTCGTAATTTTGATCTGTGCGGCACGCATCTCGTTCGATAAAAATTCTTTGTGCCGATGGCCTTGTTAAATTGGTTTCATTTTGCATTCTTATATGAGTCATCAATAACTAAATAATATTTAGGAATCGTCCTCTACAGAAAAGATAATTCAGATCATACGGTGGATCTACTCATGTCTCGGTGGCGCAGTTGCTAAACTATTAGCTTCGGAGCCGGGGGTGGTGGCTTCGATTCCCACGCGGAACAAGTATTTGTTGTTCCCTAGAAGAGGCTCGCGGCCAGTCGTAGAATACCTGGCCAAACCACTTAAGAACATGATTCACATGTTGTGCCGACCTGGATAGTGGAGGACAGTGATGATGGTGATGCTGGTGGATTGAGTTAAACATCTTACGGAAGTTTTAAATTAGGTTACTTACTAGATAATCCTTACTTGTATCATAAAGGCGAAAGTTTGTATATATGGATGGATGTTTGTTACTCTTTCACGCAAATACTACTGAATGGATTTTAAGGTAACTTTACAAAAATGTAGCTTATACATCAGAATAAGACATAGGCTATAATTTATATACATGTTTTATGTATATATGTCTTTCTGTCTTAATGTTACACCTACAGCCTATTCTGCGCAGACATAGTCGCGGGCAGCAGCTAGTTGTGTATAAAACAAAGAAACACTCCTTTCCATGCATAATACCAATCGGAATTATTATTTTCAATATTAAAAAAAAGAATTAACGGTCTACGTCATGTCAGTCAGATAGATATGAACATAAACATAATCATTGTAGCTAGTGCGTACTTTACGTCTGCGAAGAGGTCGGTGTGATGTGGACACGTTCAAAACAAAATGCTGAATTAAAACAACACAAGGGTCAGTTCATTTATCACTTTCAGATAACAAGGTACGCAGAACAATAATCGGGCGCACTACAACCTACGATTTGTTAAGTTGTACGGACGCTCGCATCGTAAATCTTACTAAGAAAGTATACTCGGCTGTCGTCAGCAGCGGAACATCAATTATCTTCACGATCGAATGTACTGATATTCATAGATATCGATGTTCACGGGTGCACAAAGGGCCCATCGTTTGATCAGGACCAGGATCGAGGCGATGACCATTTTGAGCTCAAAATCGATTCCACTAGTCAGCAGAAGTTCAAAACTCCCTGTCCTAGCACTGTTTGTTACTACTGTGTTAATCAGCATTAAAAGGATTCATTACCATCATCATTTCAGCGTGTTTGAGTTCACTACTTAATATAGGCCTCCCCTATAAACTGCCATGAAGCATGAAAGAGGCTTATTAAATACATTAGTACTGTTTACTGTACAAAATAAAACCTGGAAAATCCGTCAGAAGAGTTAAGATTGAATTGTGTATTCGTTATCGTGGTAGGAAAAATGAGAGGTTGTTTTAATAATTTATTAACTAATCCAGTTTCACATTTTAAAAAACTCATAGTAACTAAACGTTAACATTAGAAATTTCTCTACTTTATTAAATATTCAAATATTATTTTGAAGTATTTTCAAGTAAAAGTATTATAGGAAATCCTTACAGATAACTTTATAACTACGGCAGATCAAACTCCACTTTGTGTATGTTTCTCTCTTATTTTTTGTTAATAATTTAGTTAAGTTTCTCATCTAAGTGAACTACGTAATGTATTCTTGGTAAATAGTCTTTAAACCGAAATAAAAAAAAGCGAAACTTTATATTGATATTGATAGATAGCTGTTACTTATTACAACTTCCTTTTATTTCTAATACTTATCCATCATGAAAAACTGATACAATTATTTTAGTATTTCTACAACTTAAAAAGGATTTCCCATCAATGCAACATTTCTATTGGCCTGAGGCACTTTAAAAGGCGTGTCAGTGAAAAGCGAACTGGCTTATATACGCGTTTTTGTTTTAATAATAGAGAGGTGCCATAATGGGCCGTGACTGATCGACTTTCTTATATAAGGCTGCAGATACAATATAACTTACAAAATATTTAACGATTTTTGTGTTCACAAATCTCTGAAAATAATTTTGGGCCCGCGTAACGAAAACCAAGCATTTTATTGTAACATCCATGTTTATAAACAACTCATAAGTTTTCTTTATAATTATCTTAGCATATAGAGACATCTGTAAAAACAAAATATGACATGCACAAAATGACAGCACTAAAAATAACTTTTCATTAATTGCTAACTTTTAAATTATAGTTTAATTATTAATACATTTTTCTCATTAAATCGATATCGATACGAAGAAATATATCAATCCATTATATGAAAATGTGGTACGAAATGGCGTAGCGTACTCAACGAGGCACAAACGGGTGGGAATTTTTATCGCATTGTTAATCTAAATGCTCTCAAATTTATGATGAAATCTAATCACATATGGCGTAACGCAACCACTGAACTCGTTAATTATCGGAGGATTGTCGAAACGATCCGCATGCGACCACCCATGCGCCATTTCTTGCCGCTCCGACGTATCGAGTTACGATCGCGGTTTCCTAGTAATTGACTTTTTGCTTTGATTTCATGCGTTGGTAACGGACGGTTATGTGTGTGAAATGCTCTTTATGATGCTATTTACTATGGTGATAGTCTGTAAATAGCTTCTGTTGTTGGTTTCTGGTAAAAAGTTTAAAACTAACATTACCCAAAATTGAAAGAATTTACGAGAGTTCAATGCATTGTCTGATGCAAAGATTCCAAAAGAAATCAACAAAGCTTCAATCTGTTCAGAAGTAAGTTAGTTTTGTTCTCGAAGTGATGAATGTTTACTAAACGGTTATACACTTGAACGTTTCATGAATATGAGTGATGTGCGAATTTCAAAAATAAACCCGGAATTTCTAACAATTGTGTTAAATTGGTTTTGAAAGCTTATGAGCGTCAAAGTGAGCCTTCCGGTTTCTCGAGTGAAAACAATTTAAAAGCTCAGTTATCTCGGGTACTAAAGGGAAATCTAAATGAAAATTTTTATTTTCTTGAATGACGGTGATTACAAATTAAATTTCGAAAAAGTAACATTTTCAAAAACAATCAAGCGAGCTACAAGATTTAAGAATAAAAAATATTTAAAAATAATATGAAGAAGAAGATTTAGTCCAGAAATTTTGATTTACCGTTTTAAACAAATTTTTCTTATGAAATTGTTTAAATTATTTTATTATTATTTTTAAATTATAATAATAAATATAAATTCTCAAAAACATTACATTTCGTAAAAAGAAAAACATTCTTTGATTTAACTGGGATAGTTAGTGAACTGAAGATCAAATCAAAGCCATGATCAAAACATGACGTAAAAAGAGATAATAAAGAGATAATAAAGACAGTTTTACTAGATAGTTTGTTGCCATTATTTGCTGTGATATCATTGGAACATGTCAATCGGTCCATTAGTCGAAATAAATATATATAAAAGTAATTAATTCAGGCCGACAGAAGCGTATTTTCTCACATCGATGTCGCTGATTAAACGACAGCGAAGGTCATTGCACTTCCAAATTAATTCTCATGGATCACGCACTTAAGACGTTCTACTGCGACAGAGATGAGACCTGTAATTATTCTAATATAGAAGTAGTCTTCGGACAGGCGAATATCTACCATAAATGTATACGGATAAAGTGCTTTATTTGACGTGGAAGTGAATGCGTGAGGATTTACCATAAGATACTTCACTTCGATCAAATCAGCTGTCAATTCCCACGAAGCTTTAGATACTACGATCGGAAATGTCGCCGACTCGTCTCGTATTTGAATATTTAAGTTCGGCGGGAGAAGATTCGTTAGAATTAATTTGAAACTAATCATGTTCTGGTTTTATGTTTATTATTTTAATCAAAAGGTATCACTATTCCAAATTTCATTAAAATAAGTGTTGCCGTTGCAGCCCTTTGAGTGCACGCACAAACATCAACATTTATGATATAATCTAATTAATAGCAATATACTCATGTTCGTGTCACTTCATGAAATCACGTAATTAAATAAAAGCCATCTTAGGTACACACTTTTCTGTCTGAATACAGTTGCGAAGTTTCATTATTTCGTTCCAAATAAAGTTAATGATATTTTTTATTTAAATACGATTTGTGTATGAATATACCTCTTCCGTTTATATGTGGAGGATGCTTTTCCGAGGTCGTGCAAAAGATTTACACAGCGACGAATGTCCATAAAGTCGAGTGCAATAATTTGAGATCAGTAAAATTAACTATTAAGATTAAGTAAATCTATCTTGAATATTAATTTCAGTGCAATGAAAAATGATTATAAAGTTTTATGAATAAGGACAATACTAAGTAGTGACTAAGTGATAAACTTTATATTTGTTTTCGATACATATAAT